GATCTTGACTCATTAAGGAGCTATCTTTGCTTTGGTCAGTCAATATTTAAATAGGCTCGGCCCATCAGCCTGTTTGTTTGATATTGGTCTGCTGCCTGCTGGATCGTTTATATTGGAAAATTTTAGTCTGCTCTCTCATTAGTGTGAGTTTTTAGACTCAGGCGCTCGGTCAGTTGGTCGGTCGGTCCACCATTTCGGTTCAGAAAGAAGAATCTTGACAAGTATAGGATGAATTGCCGTTAACGTTTGTACATACATTCATGGGCCTCTGAGGGTGTACCCTAATGACCGACCTAATGACCTGTAGCACTGTAGTGAGTTTGGCATATTTGGTTTTGAGGGAAATATCTTATTGGATGGATTGCCATGAAATATTGTAGGCTACAGAAGTTCAGTGTCCCCAGGGAAGAATTGTAATCACTTTGGCGATCCTCTGACTATTGTATCTAGTGCCACCAGCTGATTTCCAGTTTTTCAGTGAAATATTTTCCACATTTTCTTGATGGACTGACTAGAATTTGGTGCCAACATTCGTTATTCCCGGAGGATAAATCTATCTGACTAAGAAACTCCCCTGTCTTTTCCACTTGTGGTTCAGTGTGAAATGTCTCAACTATTTCATGGATTGCATGACTTTTTTTGTTTTGTTTTTACACATATTCATGTTCCCCAGTGGATATAATGTTATAACTTTGGTGTTTCCTTGACGTTTTATCGATCATCAGGTCAAATTTAAAATTCCTCCTCTATTTTGATTTCCGTCCAAATACCTAAAGATACATGTCACTGCCATCAGCCTCAACTGTACTTTATGTTTAGTGCTAATTAGAAAATGTTAGCATGCTAACATGCTAAACTAAATGGTGAACATGGTAAACATACATACTAAACATTAGAGTGTCAACATTGTCATTGCAAGCATGTTAGCATGCTGATGTTAGCATTTAGCTGAAATACATTTAGCATTTAGCCTAAATACAGTCTCACAGAGCTGTGAGGCTTGACACCTTCAATTTCAGGGAGACCATTTGAGGAAAATATACAAAATATCACAAAAATATACTGGGAAGCCTGCTACCGAATTGAGAATGTAGTTAAAGTGATAAAAAGAAAACCCATGAAGAACAGATTAATTTTATGACTTGCTGTGTTTTCAAAAGCTACAGTTATATGACTGTTACCAGGAGAAGCACAAGTATACACGAGTAATCTTTTACAAAGCCAGAGAGGTAGAGTGAAGGAAGGCACTCCTCTAATTCTGCAGTTCAGGGCATTTTTCTGTTTTGCTCCCTGCACTCCTCCCAGCTTCATCTCTGTCTCTCCCTAGTTTTCTCTGGCTTTGTACACCCGCTGCAGCCAAGCCTAAGCTGAAGGGACATTGAGCTGTATGTAAATCAATTTGGAACGCGTCCGTATGTGGAAATAGAATTAGACTTGTCAACCACACCTCTTTAGTTCCTCCTCTCTTCTTCATCTCTCTCTCCTTCTGTAGTAGTCTGCTCTTTTTTAAGTTAAGCGTACAGTACCATAAGTAGCAGCTATAGGAAGGCTTAGGGTTAGGCTCGTGGGGTTGAGGGGATTAAAAGAAATCACTGAAGTTAGCAGTCTTCAAAGGAAGCAGAGAGACTGCAAGAGGAGCCATATTTCTCTCAAATGGTTTCATGCTCAAGGGGCTTTGTGTAATGGTGAATTATTACATGAGGCACGGAGACACATATATGTAAATGAGGCTTGGCGCTTTAAATTTGCACAGAATATTGTACTCTCTGTGGATGCCTGAGAAAAGGATGATATTAAAACACTGATTCATGTAAACAACGGGTGACACATCCAGTTTCGGCTTCATCCATTATGCTTTTGTAGTGAGTCTGTGTCTGCTAGGTTTGATTTGTTCTTTTCAGATAAAACTCATCAAAACACGTCTTTTGGTTCAGCAACAACACTTGTATTTGCTATAAATTCCAGATATGAAAGAAAGTCATATCTGACAGGTTTGTTTTTTTATGCAGCATAGAAAGGAAGAGGGATTTTGTATGGTCCACTGTAATAAGTTTTTCTACTGTGTTCTTCTTTGTATGGTGCCTGCATTGTGCTAGTCAGAACTCTGGCCTTGCATTGATTGTTGTGTAAGATATATGTCAACAATCCACTTGTGTCAAGAGATGGAAAGGGAACAGGAACATATGTTCATCTGAGACATCAGGGAGCAAAGGGTTGAAAGGTCAACAAAGAATCCCAACCATGAACTTAAGTGGGTTTTCCAAATAGTAAGTCAATCTCCTAAATATGGTCAAACAATATAATCGCAGACAACATACTTGGCTCTGAAGGAAAGTGTAGAAAGCTATTCATCTGGCTTTTAGAAACAATCAATTATTCATGCTGTAAATTAATTTTCAGAGAAATTTAATTAATTCTGTGGAGCAGTTTGTAAGAGGCTGAGTAAAAGAGACGGAAGATTATTTTTTAAGACAAATAACATAATTTTCCGCCTCCCTGATGTGCTATTAAAGAGCCCCTCATTCATCACAATTAACCTGGGCGACTATTAGTGAATCGTTAATTAGATGTTAGACTGTGTCTAATGAATCGCAACACACACTTAGGAGCATTGAATCAATGGTTATTTACTTGAGCAATTATAAGTTTATAGTTTAGCATTTTTGAAAAAGAAACATACGGTATATAATAACGAGCAGTAAAATATCAAAAAGATGCTACAACTGCAGTTTTAGAATAAATTTACAGTTTGAGGCTGATACCATCATTTTCCTCATGTGGGGTTAAAAAAGAAAGTAATTTTGCACATCCATCAGGAGCTCTACATTTCTGTTCCATTCATCCATTTCACCACCTGTCTCGTATGACATACTCGAGAAAGACTGAAAGCAGCACTTGGAGAATTCACACAGGGTTTCTGGGGAGAACTGAGACAATTTTCAGACCAATTCAAATTGCATTTGATTGGCTGCGTGGCCCTCTTGACAAAAATGGGATGATGGAGTTGGGTTGTTGTTGCTAAGAAAGGAGGTGTAATCACAAATATGGAAGTATTCTGGTATTCAGAGAGAAACCTCTATTGCCGCGGTTTACCAGAAAAACATGACCGACACGTCTTAGGTGCAGCGAGGATGACATTTTCTATCGGCTCTCAATGAAAATGTCAAATTCAAATGTTTTTTTGAATGCACTCAGGAGAAAGTAAAACCAAGGCCTTTTTTTAAAGGTTGGTAGCCATTTCCAATAGCTCAGATTTATTTCTGTGTACTGGGACAGTAAAAAGGCAAAGAGGGAAACATTAGAGCAGTAGAGAAATGGAAACCATGGACATCTGATCATCAAGAGGGTCATTTTCAGACGTGTAAAATACACACAGCTTAAAGGTAACCAGCGAGGGCAGAAGAAACACACAGTAAACATTCATGGCCTCATAAACTCTGTGTACCCTTGCCAAGGAGTTGATTACAGGCAGAGTCCATCATGTAAAACCTGCAGCTTTAATACAAATGTGTCTCAGTACCAGGGGCTCACGCTGCCCTAAGCTGGCTCTCCAAACATGTCCTCAAAACATAGCACGGGAGCATTTGCTTGGAATTACCACTCACGTGACACAAATCCCATCTTTACTGCAAACATATTCTGCATTAGAGCATTTTGAATTTGCCCTCTTTTCAACAAAAACACCCCATAGTGTTGTGTTGGTGGAAGTGCCTGTATATCAGTGGCACTTTTTAAACAGTGCTTTTGCAAGTTAAGAGTAAAGACATGTGTTTGGGGATTTTCCATTAAGCGTGCGCTTCCCTCTGATGTGTCATCCATTTTTAATGATGGGCTCTTTAAAGTGATTACTGGCCGCTGGCTTATCAGATTTGGTTTAGAGCTTGCTAATGGCATGATAAGGCACATTAAAGCGATAATAAGTATTTAATGAAGTTAAATGTGGTCAGGCTCAAGCCACGGAGGATTCATCTTTTTTTAAGCAGGTCATAAAATATGAACTTTAAATGTACAGATGATACAGAAGAAGATATTAGATGGTCCTGAAGTATGAAAAAAAAAAAGTACAATGTTTGCTTAATTCACTCTCATCTAATTCTGGTTTGTGGTACATGCAAGCTGTGTGGGATGGCAGATCACTTGAATGATTCCCACTGTGATTTGGACAAACACTGCGTTCCAGTTTTGAAATCCTCTCCATCTCCTCTTCTGTCTTTATGAATCCCATGTTTTTTTGCAGAACAAAAGCCAATGTGTGATACTTTTCGGAAATGTTCTGTGTTGTGTTATGTACCTGACATGCAGACTTACACTGACATTTTTTCATTGAATTCACTTTAGGCCATGGTAGTTGTGTGTTTTTTTTATTTTTGGACAGGAATCTTAAATCATGTCACATACAGAGTTGAAGAAAAAACATCACTTTTCTGCATTTTTTGGACTTGCTGTTACCTTCTCTTGCTAGTACTCTGTCTCTTTCTCATACACACATTCACACACATCTTGAGATCATCCTGCCTGATGTTTGCGTGATTATGCATCTGCAAAAGATGGGTGTTCCTGCTGGTCCTTTGCCAATGCTTGGGGTGGGGCTCACTGTGTCCATCTGCTCATGGCCCTAGGAGGAAAACCTCCACACACACACAGACTACATTTAAAATATGTCCACATACATATGCACAGAAACACACATGCATAAAATAATTACCGCAGGGATTCAACTCAATCACGCTGAATGCCAGGGGATTCAAGGACACGTACAAATCACCTAGTAAATTCACAGAAAATCAAGTCTCTGCTAGCCCCAGAATACTAAACATTTCATCCACATTATCCCCCAAATCCTTACAAGCAACACAGAATCTACATAAAAAGTCAGCTAAGGTTTGAGTTTTCTAAGTAGTCTTAAAACGCAATAACCAATTCAGGTTTGCAGTGTTGAAAAAATACCAGGGTGTTTGATGTGTCTCTTTCTTCCTTTTTTGTTGTTGTTCTGTTCTTAGGGGTCTTTTTGCAAGCCATTACACTGAGACACATTACCTGGAGGATGGAAGTGCAGTCACCGGTGCTCACAACTTCACGGTACGGTGGCACTCAAGTGCTTTTGACATTTATGGTCGAGTTCACGTGCAGTCGCGCTGTAAAAGCAGACCCTTTAAAAGTGTTCACTTAAACAGATGTTTTCTTCCTAGGATCAGTATTATAGTTGATAATTTACATTATGTGTTAACTTAAACTCAACTTTAGGTTTAAAATTGGATTGTGTTTTATAGTTTTTGAATCACTAAAGTGTGACCCAGTGTGTATTTGAAAGCCTCTGGCTGTTGCTGTCTATCCTGTGGCCTACTTGATGATAAGCTGTGTTTTTATGCTTGGTGTTTTTCAGCCAACACTTCCATCAGGATTTTATTATGGAATCCCCTTTTAGCAGCTGATCTATTCACGACTACTTGTTTTATTGTGTGCGCTAGCTGTGTAAAGCAAAGTGCCTGCCACTCTTTGCGGAAATGAAGAAAAGATTGATGTTCATTTCAAATTTCAAGAAATAAAAATAACAATCTGTATTTATAGAGCACTTTTCAAAAGCCACATTACATAAAGTGCTTCACAAAGGCAGAAAAATAAAGCAGACACGTCATAAAATCACCAAGTACTTATCAAGGCCACTCACTGTAACACTTAAGTGGTTGAAGACAGTTTGTGGCTAACAAAAGAAAACCCTTGCAGAATTGATTCGTTATTGTACTGTATGATGAAGGTATTTTTACGGCGGTAAGTTTGGTAGAAGGAGGGTTTCACTGCTCAACAACAGGTAGGCATTTTTGTCAGCCAGTGTAGAGGAAGGCTATCATTTGTGTGGTGTTGCAAAAACTGTGGCTTTAAAAAGGGGTTCTCTCTCGTTCAACATAGTTAACATACTCATGCACTTTTGAGGCCAAGTTGGATTGAATTTATTGTTTAATTGAACTGCAGTGAGGACAGTTTGACAGGTCGCTTACAGCTCGGAGGAGAAATGTTTGATAATTCAGCAGTGACTGACAAGTCTATTTCTCGCAGTTATGCAAACAGCGTTTTGCACTCTCTCTCTCCCTCTTTAACACCTTTAATTTTGAGTGGGAGGATGTTACAAGCATTGCATCAGACTGTCAAATAGACCTACTGTATTGTCTTAGATAAGCCCCACACAGCTGCACACTTTCAGTACCTGCTGTCACTGAACTCAGCAGTCAGCCATGTGTTGAACAGGGATCAGTGGAAAGACATGTACTGTAAATAAGCTCCGCCAGTGTGTGAATTCCCGGATAAGACAAAAGAATCAGTGAAAGTATAATGACGCTGCTGCTCCTCTAGCATACAAGTCAACACCTAGAAAATAAACCTAAGCCGGAACGGTAAATCGAGATTAATTAACGCCTTAACAAATAGCAGCTTTGCATTGGGTCAGGAAACATTTTTCAAAGCCACAGAACTTTAATCTTTTGGTAGAGATCTCAAAGTTTCTAAAGATGCTATATCTGTCTGGCTGAATTTATGGGGAATAAAAAAGGACTGGGTTTAAATATTTCACTGAATTTAAACAGCATATAGCTTTAAAGAAGAGTCAGAACAAGCAGCATACATATAATACTGTCACACCGTGTGAAATAAAATGATTTTTCCAGCCATAAACCTTCTTAAGGGTAAATAAAACAGGAAAGCTGGGTATTAAGGGGCTAACCAAGATGTATTCCATCTCTGTTCTGCTTTTTGTAGCTTCAGGAAATCTTCTAAAAATGAGCGTATGACTAAATATTTAACTTTGAATGCATTTAGCTACTTTAAAAGTCACCGACACATTGAGGATAACTGAGGAAGACAATCACTATTGCTGCCTGATGTATTCTTCTATGAAAGGTGAAGTAATCTAGGTCAAGCATAGCCTAAGCACAGAGCCTTTGTAGCTGCTCTACTTTTATACTTAATGCTATGAATCTCATTCCATCACCACCTGGCTCAGTAACTTGTACTGTACAATAGAAATTGTTGGAAACCTCAAGTATTTCCACCCGGACTTAAATATTGGGGATGAGAAATGGTTAGCATAGTGACTAATGGCAGTTGATTTAAGAGGACTGGAGTTCTGCATGACACTAAATGGAGGTCTGTATTCCCTCTTAATGAGAATAACTTCCTCTGCTCTCCTTGTGCTCAGACAACAGTGTTTTCACTGTGTCTGAGGAACCTTAAATGTCCGCTTTTCCTTCTACTAGACTGCTCCAGTGGAGTAATGAAAGAAAAACAATTACCATATTACTGTCATTTTCCATCCGTGTCAGGTTTCCTGCTTCTCCCTTCAACTGTGTATGTTGCATTAAGTTAAAAAAAGGCCTGTTTGTATGTGGAAGGATAGGATGAAAGACTGTTCTGCAGAGCATGCCCATTTCAAAGAACATAACGGCATCAGCACAGTCGCCCCGTATCGTGTCTTCTTTTGCTCTTTGATGTCAGCTAAGAGCAGTGACAAGCAGTTGTTTTTTTTTTTTTTTTTAAATATAATACATTTTTAATTATATTACTCAGTGGTTGAAGCTGCCGTCTTTCCCGCTTTTTTTAATTGAACAATTTATCCCTTTTAGAATAACTGCTACTACCACGGTGAAGTGCAGGCGCACCCAAACTCTGATGTCACCCTCAGCACCTGCTCAGGCCTTCGGTAAGAAACATAACGATCATTTTGTTTTCAAGCAGCAGCTCAACACTGCCATTTAAGTGCTATCTGACACTGCAATGTTTATATTTACTTAAGTCACTCTGCACAGCAGCCCATCACTCTTAAGCCGTTAAAGCACGCTGTCGGTAAGTTGGTGTGTGACTCGCAGGAATAGGAGATAATGACACACCTCATCGTTTTTGTCCACAGAGGCATCCGGTAAATATCTCCACTCATTTTGGCAGTAACTAACTTATTGCTGTTACTAATGACCAACCACAATTGCAGGGTTTTCAAGAAAATGTATAGTTTGCCATGACAACCTTTTGATCAATGCTGCTAATGACAAAAAACGTTGTCAACAATTTCTGGAAATTATTATTGATCATCCGAAATGGGAGAGCAAGAATGCATATGCGTATGCATAAAAGAAGGCTGATGTATAGTAATACTGAACTCATTTGTGAATTTGAAAGAGATTTTGTGCATAAAGGCTTGTGTTTAGAAAGTCTGTGTAGCTTGGCCCCATTTCAAAAATAAATGTGTAAAAGTGGGCTTGTAGGAGCAGCTACCTCAGTTGTCGCATATGCCATTGGAGAGAGCCACATTCAGTCAAATTCCAGATTTGAGAGATTGGTTATGCTTTGAGGCTTTGTATTTCAAACTTCCACTACTGTCTCTGCAGAGGCTTCATTGCGCTTGAAAACAAGACATTTATCATTGAGCCGGTGTCTGGCAATGTCACCGGGGCCCACTTCATCTACCGAGTGGAAGAACTCGGACTGACCCCAGGAGCCTGTGGCCACGGCTTCAACATGTCCTCTGTTGCCCCTGAAAACAACATCCGAAGCCCCTTTCAATCCTTCCACACGAGGGTGAGATTAGTATGTTGTTTTTCTATTGCAAAGCTTGTGTTTGAACTGTGATATCCTTTAGTCTCTAAGATATATTGTCATCAATTTTAGCATTTTTTTGGTAGTTTTAATTATCAAATATTTCTGAAGGGTAAGACAAACATTCACTTGATGAATGATAAATGGGCGTTTGACCCAACAAACTGGCAAGCAGAATATTTTGGGTAAGTTCCCAGAAGGTGTTGCCTTGGGCTTGACACATTTTATCTGCTTTTAGAGCCCAAAGTCGAGGGCCCATGTAGGTTTGGCCAATGATTTACAGCATGGAGCAGGTGCAGCATCCATCTGCCTCTATTCCAAAGCATTAAAAACTCCCTTTGAGTCAGGAAGTGAAACTTACCAACATACAGTACTTAATGACCCCTGAGTAATATCTGGGCTTTGCGTTTTTAGGAAGAGCATCAGTTCTACCTCAACAGACAGGACACTGGGGAAAAACAGCTACCCAGGCTATTTCCAAAGTTAACAAAATTCACCTACCAGCTCCTCTATAGCTCACTATTTAACAATTTAAATCTTGTTTGTTTTATCCCTACAAAACAGAGATGTAAAAAAGACAATGTTTTTTTTACAGTGGGGGGTTATGCGACTCCAAGAAATAGTCCGATACATAACTTGTGTTTTTGTACGAATAGAATATTCGTACAAAACATGATACTGTGTGTTAATTGCTGATATATCATTTTGTTTCCATTAGAGTATAGCTAGCTGTCTACCCCTGTTTCTGGTGTTTGTGCTAAGTTAAGCTAACCAGTTGCTAGCTGTAGCTTCATATTTACCGTGTGGACTTAAGATTGGGAAAGCGAAAAGTATACTGAAATATTTTTCAGGTTAGCAGACTTTGAAGGGTTTTTAATTCAGGCCCACAGGAAGTTATAGTACATCAATAATGTGTCTGTGATATTTGCCAGTGCTTCAAATATAAAGTAGCCAGGAGGATCAAGTGAATAATAGTCAATTTTTTTTATAGCAAATCTCAAAACATTTCTAACATGCAGCATCTCTGTTTATACTTCAGCATAAAAGGCATGCTCAGAAGACAACCAAGTACGTTGAGCTGATCATTGTTGCAGACAACAGAGAGGTAACGCACCAACCTTGCTTCCATTCACAAATACAGTGTTTGAACCACAGAAAACAACACATTGAAAACACAGCAACCATTCATGGTATATGCAGAAAAGCAGGGTAAGCTGTAGTAACAGTAGAGCAGGTCCCACTGGGCTGCAGAATTAGGTCAGTGTGCAACAAGCAGTGTGGTCTTGTGGCAGTGGCTTGGTTTTGACGGGAAGTGCTGAACCATTCCCCAGCGGACCAGACAGGAAACAGGAAAAAGCAGTGTGGATACAGAAGAGTCTCCCATAAGCACTGACGAGCTGATTGTGGGGTTTCCTCCTGGCGGCCCTCTTCTAATGCCGCTGACCTGAATGGAAAGAATGGAAATGAAAAAAAAAGAATAGGGATAAGGTGGATACACAGTAGGGTGGAAATAGAAGGTCTGACTTTGCTGCAATTTGGATCCAAAGCTTTGCAGGCTGTCAGATCTGCCAATATACCTGCTCCCTGCGGCCGTGCCATCCGTCTCTCTAACACTAGGAGATTTTTCTAGATCCAGATGGTCACAGCTTGACAAGCTGCCTAACACAACAGTAAAACGTATTGCCTTTGCGGGTGTTCTGTGTTATTTCATACTTTTACTTCTAAAAAGGACTGTAACTACAGTATCATTTATGTCTTCATGCAACACAACTTCTTGTGGGTCTAAATGTTCCCATTTCTTCCTCTGTTTACATTGAATTTTGTTTCCAGTTTCAGAAACAGGGGAGGGATGTGGAGAAAGTGAAACAGAGACTGGCAGAGATAGCCAATTATGTGGACAAGGTAAAACCTCCTCTACCCTTTGCACAGGAGGGATAAATCACTTTTTTAAAATAGAAATATTGCTGGCGGCAGAGATTAATGGGATGACTGTGTGATATATTAATGTCCTACTAAAACAGCTGCTTTTAGTCTGTCTAAAAGGATCTATAGCTAGCAGATACAGTAGAGGTAGATGGATAAAAGACATACTCTGATTATGTGAAAAACATGATGCTGATGCACACGGGATGATTCAGGGCTAACATAGTGAAATCTAATGTATTTCAGTGGTAAAAGGTTCTGATAGTGTCACACATCTGAAGGTCTTTTGATCATTCATGTAATCTAAGCTCTCTAAATCTCCTGGCCTTTCTATCCACACTGACACTCTGCTTATCAACATGCTCCCCTTCAGTTCTACAGGGCCCTGGACATCCGGGTGGCACTGGTGGGTTTGGAGGTTTGGAGTGACTCTGATAAATGTCCCATCACCCAGGATCCCTTCACCACCCTGCACGAGTTCCTAGACTGGAGGAAAGTCAAACTGCTGCCCCAGAAACCTCACGACAATGCTCAGCTCATAAGGTAGAAATTATAATTTAACAGAAGAAACTGTGCCCGGAAATTAAAAAACAAATGTTCACAGTGGTACACCAAAACAGCTCCGTAAAGGGCAAGTAGCTACAAAGTTGCTTATGCTATCTTAACTTGGTAGGTAAACCTTATTAATGATTTGGACTGCAACTCGACGGTTAAATCAGTGTGCCGTATAAGCTAATTGCAGATAAATCGGTATCAG